CCTCCATTCTTCTCTTGGGATCTTGGGCACGCACGCACATGCGCCCAGCATGAGTTTTAAGCCACCGGATCCGGGACGCGAACCGCGGTCGACTACATGGGAGTCCAGCGACATAGCCATTACGTTAACTACTGGTCCCAAGGGCTTTCTTTTCTGCGGTGAGTACATCGTGCTGTGCCATACACTGCACGAATTGGCCATTAAGGGCATCACTGTGGGAACTGGCTTGGCCTGAAATTTCTGACCAGGTGGAGGGCAGGCCAGACGAGTCGCTCCCGGGGCTGCTCCCACCTTCGCACTCGGGAATGTCGCAGAAGCCGAATCTCTGGGAAGGGTCCGTGGTGTAGCACCAGGGGCCCTGCTGGTCGTTGTCGGGGTTCCGGCAGTAGTTCTCCTCCAGCCCCTCGGAGGGGTGTGTGTCGGGTGAATAGCTGCGGAGGGTGGAGAGAAACGAACACTGGCACTGCGGACATATTCTAAACAGCGAGTCAGAGCTCCCGTCCCAGGGCTTGGTTTCTGGCTGCCAGAGGCATCCCAGCTGTATGCTGAGCCTTCTGGGCTGCCAGGCTGCCAGTCTCTACCCCAGACTGTTCGGGGCTAAGTCTTAGCGGTAGAGCCCGAGTATTTCCCTTGAGTCAGAAGAAACAGAAAGGCCTCAAAAGCCTGCCAACTTCTTGGTTTACCCCAAACGCCTTCTTTTGGCAGCTGGCCTTCTCTCTAGAAAGAACAGTGGTGCTTATTACCGTGTCGTCCCTGGAAGCCATGCACTAGGTGTGACGCTAAAACCTTTCTATGCGTGCCCTCCCTTCATCTTCATTAAAAACTCTCCAGGAAGGTCTTGTTATCCCTCTTTTACAGAGGAGAAAACAGTGTGGCGATGAAAAGCCAAACCGACCTTGCCTAACCTTGACCACCTAGAAAGCAGCAGAGCGGGATTGTGAAGTCTCTGTCGTCTGTCTCTGAAATGCTGCCTGAGCTAACCGGGCTGCGGGAGAGAGCGAAGCTCATTTTCAGTTCCTGAGAGGCGTTTCTATACAGGGATGACAATTATTAACAGGAACAAAACACAAGACCTACAGTCTAAAGGCAGGGTCCATTTCTGCTTCCTCTGTGTGCCCATTTTTGGTAGTCCCTGCCGTCTTAGGACCTCAGTGTCCTCAGAAAGATGAGCCTAGATGATCTTTAAGGCCCCTGGCATTCTACAATTCAGCCATTTGATCTTATCTAAGAGCGAATATGAGATGTCATCTCAGAGAAATGCAATTACAGCCCTGTGCTGGAAGCGGGGTAACAGACAGGAAATTCCTGCTTGGTGAGCCTCGTTACTGAGAACACAGTGCCCAGCTGGGGAAGGTACAAGGCGAATGACACTAAGATAAATAACAGGCCAGTTGCCAAGACTTACGTTTTATTTGCATCTGACTTTCATTGTCTCCGCTACCTTGTTTACTCTTCAGCTGAGTCCGCAACCTTGAGGTGGGCACTGCTGAGCGTCCTAACTCGCTACATTTCATTTAGACTAATTCAGTCCCAAACACCTTTCCCTTCAGTCCTTCCTCAGACTCAGTCTAGAAATGACGGTGTTGTTCTTTTGCACCATGCATCCTTCTAAGGTCTAGGTCTTCGGGAACGCCCTACACCCCAGAATAACAGGAAGAAGGCATTTTCTGGTTTTGTGCGATATAGCTGAACTATCTACTTCAACAGTGAACGAGTTCTCGCATCGGTAGGGGAACACGGGGAGGAAAGAGGTGCTCTTACTTGGGTCTGTGGGGGGAAACGGCGCTCCACTTTTGACAGGGAATGCCGTCCTTCGTCCTGGACACCGTCCCTCGGTAGTGCCTGGTTTTGGGCGATATAGCTGAACTATCTACTTCAACAGCGAACGAGTTCTCGCACCGGCCTCAGCGGCAGGGGAACACGGGGAGGAAAGAGGTGCTCTTACTTGGGTCTGTGGGGGGAAACGGCGCTCCACTTTTGACAGGGAATGCCGTCCTTCGTCCTGGACACCGTCCCTCGGTAGTGCCTGCCGTTCCCAGTCTTGCACTCTGAAAGGTACACTGAGAGGACACAGGGTCAGCGTCTGCCACGGGAGCCCTCAGGAGGCTCTGCTCGGCGCAGTCGCCCCAGAAGACCGCACTGCAGACACACTTCCCTGCCACTGACGGACCATCATTTCACGTCTACAAAAGGGGTGCGGTGAACTGAGCAGTACTGAACTTGGATTGGCTTGTTCAAAAGCAGTTTGCGAGCCCAGCCATGGATGTGGAACCTGACCAGGTGCCAAGCAGGGCTATCACACCAGGCTCACGACCACCTCCCCGGAGAACACGCGAGCCAGCCCACGGGGTCCAGGCTACCCAGAGCCATTTGTCCTGTCCAACTTTCTTCCGCAGTTACTTTTAACTGAGGGTGACCTAACCTGGGAAATGCATATTAAAATAAACTCAGCTCTTGTTTTGTTAACAAGTTGAAGGCTTTTACAGACTCAGAAGAGTTGAATCATTTAAAAACTGCTGGGAAAGAGCCAGCAGGAGGTGGATGGTTACGGTGGCCGGCTCCCACATAGCTGGACCCTGGATAGAGCCCCAACACGGCAGCCTGAGAATCACACCAGCGGTGTGTGTGTGTGTGTGCCTAGACCCTGAGGGAACAGAGAAGGGATTGCGGCGTGGCCACTCCCCTGGGGGTGACGTCTTGCTTTCCCTCACTCTCTGCCTCTCCCTGGTGAGTGCAGGCACCCTACGGTAAAAACCTGAACAACAGCTGCTGAGAAACCCACTGAGTGGACTACATGAGTTTGTAGGGGAAATAGAAAAGTTCTAGAGGTCCTACACCATCAGGTTGATTCATAAACGTCTAGATGTTGCTCCACTTCGAAGGAAAGCAACCATCGTAGGCAACACATCAGCGCACAGTTCGTGAAGGATTATGCCCCCAGGGAATGCGTCCTGGCGGCCCATATTCACAGAAGAAAGCCTCTGCTCTGCGCACAGGGTGCCAATGCTAACTCATGTTTCCAATGAAAAGATAAGGTGTTTAAGGTATCTTTTCATCATCTTTTAAAATCCCCATTTCAGCCCAGGCTTGAAATTCACAATGCATCATCTCAGGAAAGCACTTCTAACTACAGCAAACGAGCCCTTCACTCCAGCCCCGAGAGTAACAGCTACGATGGGCACATGGACTCATCCATGGGCGAATTCAAGGATCTTTGTCAAAGGGAGGCCGAGGGCCCAGCAAAGAGTTTCTGAACGAGGTGATGCTTCCGCTGAGACTTAGGAGATGAGAAGGAAATAACCTGGCAGAGGTGGAGGTGGGAGACCCAGGCAGGAGGGAAGTGCTTGGACGTGAAAAAGCAGGGACGTGAGCCCAGCGTAGGGACCCCGAGTGAGCCCAGCAGCAGCACCCGGGTGACCCACATCCCGCAGGCACTCTGCTATCCGGATGTTACCCTAAGTGCACCGGGAAGGGTGTTCAGCA